TGCATTTAGAATTTTAATACAGAAAAGGGAATTTTATATTTATTTTATTTAAATAGATACCACAAAAAGGCATAAAACTTGTAGCACCCTTATTTATTTTTCTTTTTTCTTGCTTTTATAGTCAATTCCACTTTTACTACTAAAACCTATTCTGCTTAAATCCCTTCTTATGCCTTTCTTTATAGTTTTATTTTGTTACACTACGTCATTTAAAGTTATCTCTTCTTTAGAGATATAACCAAACATAGATACACCCTAACCTACAAAAAATCGTTGATTTGTATTAGGCAAGATGAAATACTTATCAATGGACTATAAATACCAAATTACAACCTAACCTAACCCTACGACCAATTTTTTGTATTTTTTTTGTAAATTTAATCTACTACTGTTGCCATATTATGAAGATATTCAGTAAAAAGATAAAAAAATTCTTTTCCTCTTTTCAAAAAGTTTGCGAAAAAACTTTATAGACGTGTTTCTGGGGTCGAGATATACTATCCCTAAAAATATTTGCCCTTATTTTAGACTCACCCTGTATCGGTATTTAACATTCTCCAATTAATTTATACACTACACAACATTTACCAGTTTTAATGAATGTAATCAAAAAATTGAGAGCGCCTAATAACAAACATTACATAAATCCAAAAATATATCCTTTATACTTTCGTTAATACTGAAATAAAAGTGCATTTTAAATTCGTGCTGAACTTATATTGTAATGAAATGTGGCAACATTGCAAGATATACCGATCTGGTCATCGAAGCTGCGTGGCCTGGATTTTAACGTGCAAGACGGTGACGTCGACAGCTTAATGTATTAAAAAGAGATACAAGTTGGGTTGATATATTTCTCCTATGCGGTATTGCCGGATTTTGCATCAAAATTTCAAACTTTTTACGTACACCGCACAAGTAGGCGTTTACGAAAAATGTTGCATCTAGAGTTGTAACTTTATTTTTCACAATTAATTACTCGTTTTACTACAGCTGTAATCTATACTAATATATTAAATCCTTAAGTGACTGACATACTGATTAATCACGATCCTGCTCAAACCACTCAACGTAAGAAGCTCAATTTTGGCATACAGGTTGATTCTAGGGTGTAGAGGTTCGATAAGAAGGGATTTTTCGAAATTCCAGTTCCAAGAGGGTGAAACCACCCCTCAAATATTACAATACCTTTTTATTTAAAAAACAGTCAAGTTTCGAAAAACAACTTAAACACGTATTTTATTTGTTTTTACATATTTAAGATTTTTAAAATGTATACAGGGTGTTTCGAGAAATCTGGTCATTAATTAATCACGATCCTGCTTAAAGCGCTTGACGTAAAAGCTGATTTTTGAACAGATTGAGTTTAGGGTGTAGGGTTCGATAAGAAGGGATTTTGAAACTCGAATTTAAGGGGCGAAACTATCCCATAAAGTATTAAAATATTTTATTTACTCGGAAAAACTTTTAAAAACACGTATATTTTATTTTGTTGTTTTACATATTTTAAGATTTTTTATAAATTTATACAGGGTGTTTCATAAAATATGACCATTGAGTAATCACGATTCTGCTTAAACTGCTTGACGTTTAAAGCTGATTTTTGGCAAACGGATTGACTGTGGGGTGTAGAGGTTCGATAAAGAGGGGTTTCTCGAATCCCAAATTCCAAGAGGGTGAAAACGCCCCTCAAATGTTACAATATTTGTTATTTAAAAAACGGTTAGTCTTTCGGGAAAACGCTTGGACAAGCATAATTTATTTGGTTTTTTTACATATTTTGAAATTTTTTAAAAAATCATACAGGGTGTTCCAAAAAGTTGTGTAATTTCTTAACCACGATTCTGCTTAAACTGCTTGACGTAAAAAGCTTATTTTTGTCAAACGGATTTTTCGAAAGTCAAATTCCGACGATATGAAACTACCCCTCAAATATTACCAAGTTCTATAATAATATCGCCATATTGTTTTTTCTCATGCTGACATAAATGTGAGAAAATTTTATCCAGTTTACATGTTAATGGAAATTCTTGCTTTGCTTTATCATCACCATTACAAATGATTAATTCGACGCGAACAAAGTCGCTGGTACACGCTAGTAGATTATATTTAGCTTAGATATATTATCCACATTTCAGTAGTATACATGAAAGTTTTTAAAATAGTTTATTTTTTTCTACACACATTTCCTACAAAGGTAAAACCGCCAACACTGTATGGCGCTTTTTATTTTGTCTCTTTGTCTGTCAACCGATCATTTATATTTATCTCTGTCGCATACATTAAAATACAGACAACACAGATGAAGTGACCAGGGCTAGTATACAAAGACATAATGTTGTATCAATAAATATTTTAAAACTCCTCTGTATTTACTTATTTCTCTGATTAATCTTCTGCAATCCTATTTTTATACTTGGAATAATTAATTCAATTTCACAACAAAATATTCTAAGTACATTATACTAAAAAATCCCTTAAGTTCCCCTTTGTTATGTGGTAATATGTATTCATGCCGTCGTGCCAGATTAAAACGAAACGAAAAAAATAAATTTTCACAGTGTATACGAAGATTTTCGAATAAAAACAGGCTTAACTCGATTCCCGTTTTATTTCATTTTTCTCTTTCACACTTTTACAAAAATTAATTATTACGAAAACAATGAAAATGTTTATTGTTTCGAGTGAACAACGAAATTTGTATTTATTTATTTATTAAAAAAATATGAAAATAATAGATTGGTATTAAAATAATAAATTCGTTTATTTGTTTTGGAAATCGTTTTAAATAATTGATTTCTAATTTATATATTTATGGATTTATACCATTTTGTGAAGTTATAATAGGTTTATACGGGGTGAGTCTTAAATAAGAGCAAATATTTTTAGGGGTGGTATATTTTGTACATCGGAACACGGTCTATGTTGTTTTTTTAGTGAAAAAAAAAATTGAAACATGTTTTTTTTTCAAAAAAAAATTCGTAAATCTTTTAGTTTAAAACATACCTAGTATCTGATAATTTATCGCAATATGGGTAGTAGAATCAATTTAGAGAAAGGGAAAATAGAAAAAATTCCCAAAATTTAGGCAAAAAAAGATTTTTTTAACTTTCAAAGAAAAATAACTCTATTTTGGTGTTATTTGAAAACCGACAAAGGGAAAATATATTTTTTGACAAAGATCTACCACCCCTGAAAACATTTGTACTTCTTTAAGACTCACCCTATTATATGACAAGTATTTCTATTAAGGATTTTTATAATTAATTACTCTAATGGGAATGAAATTTAACGAAATATTTTATAATGAATTTTAGTTCCAGGTTGTTTGATCTCCAGGATGTTTCTATAAAAACCACTTGAACTGAAATATCAAATTTATATTTGAAAGTGTAAGAAAATAGAAATGTTGGTCTGTATATTACCTATATTATACAGGGTGGTCGGAACTGTATTCCGAAAACTTCGCCAACATATTCTGCAGATAAAAATAAGTAAAAAAGTTCGTATAAATGTATGCCCTAAAATGCTTTGTTTCGGAGATACAGGGTGTAGAAGTTTCATTTTTATTTCAAAATTTTCCAAATAATTTCTGAACTAACGTCGATATCTGGATGAGAATTAGTGTCTCGGAGTTTTTTGACACGAGAAATTTGATTTTGATGTTAATATGACTACTACTTGTAGAGGGTGCCACCTACATATTTTTAACTGGTTTGAAGAGTAATAACTTTTCGCTCGTACCTGTATAAACCTACTGAGTTAAAAAATATACATTTATAGTATTTTTAATACCTATTTAGAGGTACCAGCCGTTTTAGTAACTTAACGTATGCGGCTTCTTGAACCATCTGAACCCGCATGAAAAACTGGAACTTTTAGTGCTTCGGACGCTTTTTGAATTGCCTTAAATCGAAATAAAAATGATACTTCTACACCCTGTATCTCCGAAACTAAGGATTTTTGACTGCAGAATAAGTTGCTGAAGTTTCCGGAATACAGTTCTGACCACCCTGTATATGTAAACTCAGAGAAATATAGATAAAACTTACTGTGCAAAATAAATGGAAAAACGCCCAAATTAAAATTAATTCTTTTGGGGATATCAAATCGTCAATCTAAAGCTGCAAATTAAGGGTACTTTTTTAAAAATAATTCTTAAAATACCATCTACGAAAACTAATTGTCTCTAATGTATCATGTAGATGTAGATTATATGTAGGGAGTTAGTTAATCACCGCCACCTTATAGATCTATTGTGTTCCCTTTTCTTGAGTTATAACTTATATTATACTATCTTAAAGTTTTGACAAAAGCCAGTATCTGAGGTTTACAGAGGTTAGCACTCAATCTCCGATATCAGTGTCACTCAACTATGAGGTGTTTTGGCGTTTCTCCATTTTCCCTACAGAATCTGCATTCGTCGATGTTTTTTAGCGTCAATCTCCTGAGGTGTTCGTTGAGGAGACAGTGTCCTGTTATAAACCCCGTGACAATCCGAAGATTGTTCTTACTTAAAGCAAGGAAAATCTTGATTGGTTTTCTTCTGTCGTAGGTCTTGAGAAATGTTGCCTTGCTATATGTTGCTCGAGTTTTGTGTATCAAGCATCTGCTCCATAGGTAATCATGGGTCTTACTATCATGGTATACATCCTTAAACACCTTATACACCGATATATCAATCATTTTCGAATAAATAAAACTCATAAATGAATAATAAGTTATAATTTTTTTTGTTTCTAAATTAAATTATATTCAATTCATGTGCACTTATCAAGGAACCGCAAATGGGTGCAACAGAGTTTGTCAATTTCACCGTCAAATAAGCCGCGAATGACCGCAGGTTTTCCGAGCGGATCGGTTAATTTAATGACGCAGTAGGCATCGGTTGTCTGTCGTCAGCGCCGTTTGTTCATGCAATAAAGTATAATTAAACCCTAATGATGGTATGTTTAATGGAAATTTACCTACGCTGTTTGCATTGTCGCAGTCCCTACAGGCCGAATTACCAGCGGATTAATACGGCGCGACCGTATGTCTCTATCGCTTGTCCAAATTGATTTTGGTTACTGTAACTAGCTGTTGCTTCGATCGCTACTGATGATATGCAGTCACATGTTATTTATCTAACACCAGTGTTTTTCTACCATCGCATAGATTCTCTAAAAAAATGGAAAATAGTATTATTTTAAGGTTGTTCTAAAATGTAAAGATTAATTAAAACGACATGTTAATAATTTTCATATTTTCACCTCTACAGAATGGCGAGATTAAGCCTGTTCCACTACGATCTTCCTCAGATCTACTACGGCCCAGTTCTGATGTTCAGATTACATTCTCTAGTCCTATTATTTTCAAAATGTCTAATAACTCGGAGAATGAACCCTCTATATATTTCTTTATTGGTATATATTAGAGCAATAATAGAAGCCCTAGCAAAACAAGGTATTGACAGGCTTTACATAGAAACTATCACAAATATATACAAAGAAGCCAAAGCAAGAGTAATGATAGATAAAACAATTCCAGAGTTCCCTACTGTCCAAGGAGTACGACAGGTAGACGCGATATCTCCAAAAGCTGTTCACAGCAACACTAGAAGAGATCTTCCGTCAACTAGACTTGACCAACAAAGAATTAAAAATAGATGGAGAATATCTTAACCATCTAAGATTCGCTGATGACATAGTCGTAATAGCCAATAGTCCTGAAGAACTACAAACACAAATAAACGAACTAAATAAACACTAGTGAAAAAAAGACATTCTAGTAAATAACACAACACTAAAAGTAATAAAAGAATATCTATATTTGGGGCAACTAATACACAGCTCGGGATCTCTTCTACCATAAATTAACAGAAGGATTAAGTTAGCATAGAGTACTTATGGAAGAAACTCAATCACATTCAAATCTAGAATGCCACTTTGTCTAAAGAAGAGAACATTCGACCAATGTGTACTACCAGTCATGACCTATGCATGCGAAACCAGGACACTTAAAACGGACATTATAAGGAAACTGCAGGTCGTACAATGCTCAATGTAACGAAATATGCTGGGAATAACCAAGAGAGACAGTAAAAGAATAGAGTGGATACGACAAAAGACCCAGGTAATAGATGTCATCCACAGAATCAAATCACTCAAGTGGCAATAGGCAGGATACCTGGCAAGAAGGACGGACAACAGATGGAGCACAGAAATTACAGCATGACAACTACAAAGAGAGTATCTAAATATGTGAGGGAGGCTAAACCATAATTGGAAGTGGTTGAATAAGCTGAAAATGATGAAATAATTGGCTTATCACTCTCTAATATAAGGAACTGCACATTTGCCGGGAGAGTCTTTTGTCTTTACTTATCATGTCTGTGGTAAATTTTGGTGAATCTCCCACTATATACTTCCCTGATGAATTTTGTGTCACTGGCCAGAGATTTGTTGGACACCCACTATATTTAGGCCAATCTTATGACTGCTTTTTGCAGCACTTCTTATGACTGCTTTTGCTAATCTTATGACTGCTTTTGCAGCACTTCAGAAGCATTCTGGGCTTATAAATTGCACTTATGAGCTTCGCTTGGCTATTTTATCTGCTTTTTCATTACCTCTATTTTATGCGATAGTTAAGCAGCACTAAAAGCAATCAACGCAGCAACCATCAATTCGAAATTAGTCAAAGAATGTCTAGAAAAATAAATATATGCTTAGAGAAATCTATACTAATATATAAAATCCTTAAGTGACTGACATACTGATTAATCACGATCCTGCTCAAACCACTCAACGTAAGAAGCTCAATTTTAGCATACAGGTTGATTCTAGGGTGTAGAGGTTCGATATTTTCGAAATTCCAGTTTCAAGAGGGTGAAACCACCCCTCAAATATTACAATATATTCTATTTAAAAACGGCCAAGTTTCCGAAAAAAACACTTAAACACGTATATTTTATTTTGTTTTTTACATATTTTAAGATTTTTTAAAAATGTATACAGGGTGTTTCGAAAAATCTGGTCATTGATTAATCACGATCCTGCTTAAAGCGCTTGACGTAAAAAGCTGATTTTTGGAAAACAGATTGACTTTAGGGTGTAGAGGTTCGATAAGAAGGGATTTTTCAAAACTCGAATTCTAAGGGGGTGAAACTATCCCTCAAATATTAAAATATTTTTTATTTAAAAACCGGTGAGTTTTTGGAAAAACTCTTAAACACCTTTATTTTATTTTGTTGTTTTACATATTTTCACATTTTTTATAAATTTATACAGGGTGTTTCATAAAATATGACCAGTGAGTAATCACGATTCTGCTTGAACTGCTTAACGTTTACAGCTGATTTTTGGCAAACGGATTGACTGTGGGGTGTAGAGGTTCGATAAGGAGAGGTTTCTCGAATCTCAAATTCCAAGAGGGTGAAAACATCCCTCAAATATTACAATTTTTGTTATTTAAAAATCGGTTAGTCTTTCGGGAAAACGCCTGGACAAGCATAATTTATTTGTTTTTTTACATATTTTGAAATTTTTTAAAAAGATCATACAGGGTGTTCCAAAAGTTGGGTAATTTCTTAACCACAATTCTACTTAAACTGCTTGACGTAAAAAGCTTATTTTTGGCAAACGGATTTTTCGAAAGTCAAATTCCAACGAGATGAAACTACCCCTCAAATATTACCAAGTTATTATAGTTATTACCATTAATTATAGTTATTACCATAATATCGCCATATTGTTTTTTCTCATGCTGACATAAATGTGAGAAAATTTTATCCAGTTTGTGTGTTAATGGAAATTTTTGCTTTACTTTATCATCACCATTACAAATGATTAATTCGACGCGAACGAAGTCGCTGGTACACGCTAGTAAAATAATAAAGTTCTCCTACTCTGGGTGCCAGCTCAACAACGGATAAAAGGCAATGAAAAAGTAAACGATCTAGCTTGATAAAATTTCGTCAAAACCTACGTCAGAGAAAAATCAATCACCAAACCAAACCATACCAAATCAAAATTTTTTCATGATCTGAGTAAGAACAATCTTCAACAGATTGTCACGGGGTTCTTAACAGGACACTGTCCCCTGAACAAACACTTCAAGAAATTGAATCTAAGAAGCAACCACGTATTTAGTACCTTTTGGATTTGGATTATTCGATTTTTCTCAACTCCAATACAATATTCCGAAAGATATTCACAGATATTTCGAATAAATATCATCTATTTCCTGCCTCTCGTCTCTTCGAAGAGCTTTTAGAGCTCGCCATTCCGATTTTTCCCTTATTTCCCTCCCCGAATATTTCAAGCCAAGCCGAGGGAAATGCTTGAGTTGTCACCTCGCGCAAGATTTAAATCTGCTCGTGAGCCGTTTTATTTAAATAGGATACACGAGACGCTGTGCGCGCACACTATACAGTGTTTTTCTCGATTCCCGTTTTCGTAAACAGCTTAAAAATCTGGGGAGACCGTCGTCGAAGACATTAGGTTAAGTACTAAGACGCGTAAATCCTTTTTCGACGATAAGCAAAATTAATACATTCTCCTTAAATAACTTCTCGTGACGTTATCCGAGTTCCCTAGTTGTTCGATTCGCATATATATCGTGGAAATTTTGATATTTTATTGGGCCAAGAGCGGAAAATGAACGGGGAAAGTCGTTTAGATAATTACGTTAAGTTTTTTTTGGGTAATAAGACAAAATGGGAAACAAAAATATGTATATTTATCTCAAATAAGGTTTCCTTATTTCCTTATTTTTTATCTTTATGGGGGACTCTAATATTAATAGTTCGGATCGATTCTAATCTAAAATATTCAGGATGTTTCCCTGATTAACAATCAATTCAAAGTTGGTCAAAAAATGCCTACAGAAGCTGAACAAATTAGACAAAGAAAATATAGTCAGTAAAGATAAAAGGTATTAAAAAAGCAAAAACTTCAGTAAACTCCATGCTTACTTTGGAATGGGAATCATCCAACAGACTGACACTCGAAGAAATTTCATAAGTTATATCGTGATAAAAAAATCACATGAAAGTATGTAGAACCAATTTCTGGTCACCACTTGGCATAATATAAATAAGATGTCATAAATAATTTAAAGTGTTCTCTACACACAAGAGGTGTGAAAAGAACGATAATTCGCTGCTTTTGAAAAATGCTTGAAACACGGAGAGCAGAGGCTGAGATGGGTACCAAAACTGTAGTTGTTAAAACAACGCAACTTCCCCCTACTGTAGAGCACGGTAGTGAAGATCGGTGAAGTTAGTAACTCATTGAAAGCAGGAATTATGGGCTGCTACAATCCTGCTTCAAATCTCAACCCAGCCACACCTACCAATTTTGAGCTATAGTTACTTTTATTTTGGTTGCTAACGTCCCACTTGGCAACACATGAGAAGCAGGATCGCCAAAACTGGTTCCTGCTTGCGCTGCATACCCCTGTTGCATCCTGCTCTAAATTTCATCCCAGCAACACTTGCTGTTTTTAAGATACAGCAAGTTTAAGTCTGATTGATGACGTCACATATAGCAACACAGTAAAAGCAGGATGGCTGAAATAAGTTCCTGCCCTGGCTGCTATATTCCTGCCTCATCCTGCTTCAAATCTTATACCAGCCACTCTTATCGTTTTTGAAATAGAACGAATCGATTCCTGGTAATCAGTCCCACACAAGGTTAGGAATGATTTTATTTTAACTTGATAATACTTGATCGTATTTATAATTCCTGCTTTCAATGAGTTGCTAACTTCACCGATCTCGGTAGTGATAACAGGATAGAAATACTGTCATATCTGTAGTAGGTATACCTACTAACAGGGCACTATACACTAGGGTCTAACCGGCACGGTATCACTGCTTCTAGCGTTGCCAGTTTTCACCTTTTTGATCATTACTTTAAGAAAAAAAGAAGAAGAAAAGACAAAAAACACACGAAGATTACGATATTTATGAAAAAACGATTTTATATTAACTCTTGCATCTAGCCGGACCGTGAAACTTTACAACCCGCAGTTCCACATGTGCATAAATTATAATCGGTCGGGTATTTCGCGTGCAATCTTAAAAAACTTTAAGCTTCAACCAAAAAAAATAAATTCTGAGACTAACGCACCCTGTATGAGTAAGGCACCCTGTATGATGTTATCCAAAGAAGACTCCGTATCACTGAGAGACGGTGCAGGACTGTCGGGCTGAACATCAACTCAAACAAAACAGCGGTAGTGCCGTTCACCAGAAAACGAAGTCTAAAAAGCTTGAAAAGAAACCATCTGGATGGAAAGGAAATAATGCCCCATCGCAGGAAGTCAAATATCTGGAAATAACCCTGGACAGTAAATTTCTCTGGAACAGGCATGTTAGAAACATTATCAGCAAAGCCACAAACGCTCTCATGATATGCATAAAACTGGCGGGAAATAGGCAGAAATCGAAAGATGCGTACAATAATTTATCTTAGATAGGAACTATCGAAAACAGGAAATAGCCATTTTATCCGATAGTCAAGCAGCACTAAAAGCGATCAACTCAGTAACGAAACAAATAAATTTGAAGTAGGTCAAAGAATGCCTAGAGAAGTTAAACAAATTCTATCTATCTCTATCTATTCAGCCTCATCGGTCCATCGTTGGACATAGGCCTCCCCCAATCTCTTCCACTCTTCCCTCTCTGTCGCCGTGCTCATCCATCTTGTGCCTGCATGTTTCCTCAGATCATCCGCTCATCTCATCTGGGGTCTTCCTCTACTTCTTCTATTCTCCCAGGGCCTCCATTTTACGATGCACTTGTTCCATCGATCATCCTTCTGTCTGACATTGTGACCGGCAAACAGCGTGTCTAGAATTCAGTTAAACAAATTAGGCAAAGAAAATAAAGTCATCCTACTCTGGTTGCTCGCTCACCAAGAAATAGAAGGGAATGAAAAAGCAAACGATCTAGCTAGAAAAGGAGCGAACACTACTAACTGGACCAGAACCGTTCTGCTTTCTAAGCGGAAATCAACTTAAAGCGGAACTGAACAACCTGGAAGACCCCATCCGCCTGGAATGGGAACCCTCCAACGGTCGACAGACACTCGAAAAAGTTCCTCAGAATTTACGACCGAGAAAAATCAAAGATTTTTCTTGATTTAAGTAAGAACAATCTTCGGATTATCAAGGGGTTTCTAACAGGACACTGTGTCCTCAACGAACACCTCAGTAGATTGAAGCTACAAAACTACGGCGAATGCAGATTGTGTGGGAAAAATGGGGAAACACCAGAACACCTTGTGTGTCCCCTCGAACACCTTGTGTGAACCCCTTGTGTGGAACACTCACTGTGTCCGCCGAGATGACAACCGTTCGTTTAACTAAACTTTGGTACGGTTGATGTCGAAGATGGAGAGCTGGCTTTTGTGGAGCCGTCACAGATACTGGCTTTTGTCAAAGCTCTGAGACTGTATGATAAGTTATAAATCGTTGTAACCTCCTAAACATTCTACATACTACAAATAATTTAAATAAAACCGAAGAAATAACAATTTAAATGTCTGGAAAATATGCGTGTCTAGAATTCATTCTAATAGCGATGTGGTAAGAATTACTAAGAACGTTTATGCGCCTATTTCCCACAAATTGTTGAATGCTTTATTAATAATAAGTTCCATAAATTTCGTTTAGTCATGGCCACGGAGTAAAAGAAAAATAAAAGACGCGACAAAGAATAAATTATATGTTTGTTTCTTTATTAAAACCGGTCGTTCGACACAGAATAAATTAAGTTTTTCTCTGTAATATAAACTGTTATTATCGGAAAAATAGAGTAATTGCCCGATATAGACTACAATTTATTTTTGTGAGCAACCTGTAATGGAACGCCTAGCCCGAAAATGGAAAAGAACATAAATTTATAAATATTGTTAACTAAAAATATAATGTCTATAAGTAATTCATTTCTTTAATAATACTATATAATCGAAAAAAAAGGTGTCAAGTTGGTGTTAAAATAAACGACAACCTATACGGCCAAAATATACGGTAAACCTAGATAAGCAAAGATATATACTGTCTAAACTTTAGCAGGTCTCCTAACTGGGCATTGTAAGTGCAATAAGCATTTATAGTTCATATCAAATAAACTTTTAGTCACGTGATTAAGATTGACCGGCACAGCGTTGCCCACTTCTGCATATTTTTTTAACTAAAATATTTTAGGAAACAAAAATAAATTAATTATAAATATATAAACAGTTATTATTTACATTAACAAAACTCACCTCCTTAACAGCACTTAAGGGACATATTAAGAGGATATTACTACCGCTTTCTCGTTCAAAATATTCTAATAAAGTTGCGATGAGTTTTTTACGGCTATTAAGCTATTTTATACCACTTCGCACTGAAAGAGGTTCTAAAAAGGACAATGCTCTGGTGCAAGGTCTGCTAGTAAAAATGTTTAAGGTTATAGTACATATCCGAACATAATTTATTTAAACCAAAAATTCGTAACGCAAAACTAAAGTGTCAAAACGAATGATAATGTCAGAAAATAAATAAATAAACGTCGGCAACTCCACATTTTTTGACAACTGCCGAGAAGAAATTGGCAAAAATGAATTTAAAAATCGCGCCCTCGTTTATGTCTTTATAGTTTTTATATTTATTTAACAGCAGTAACGCAATGTTGACAGTTTCTTTTCAATTTACCTTTGTAATATTTTTCCACAAAATATCTATTTATTTGGACGGCAACGCCGCTAACTTCCGTTTTCAAGTGTCATTTCTGGATTGTCAAAATCTTTTGAAGTTCGTTTGGTTGGAGTCAATCATTGTTCTTTTTCTTCCGATCCCCATATTGGTGTGGTTATCGGGTCTTTCCCTATAAGAATTTATTATTTATATTAATTCAACTTAAGGGCTCTAACTCACTGACGACCAGTCAAATCTCACGTTTTTTTACGTTTTACCAATTTTTACGTTTCAGAACTGTTAAAATTATACCTATCAACCCCCGGAACAGGCAGGGTTTAGAAGTGGATATAGTACTGTGGATCACCTTCAGGCACACTCTCATAGAGAAAAGCACTGAATACAACTTCCCTATATATGTCGCCTTTGTGGATTATGAGGTTTTCGACTCTATAGAGCTACACGCCATCCTCGATGCCCTACAAAATGCCAGAATAGACTACAGATACTCGGGCATAATATCATCTATTTACAAATCAGCTACAATGACTATCAAACTGGATGACATAAATATCACAAATAAAATTAAAATGGAAAGAGGAGTCCGATAGGGAGATACTATTTCCCCCACTTTTACACTGGCCCTGGAGGACGTATTTAAGAAGCTGAATTGGGACAAGAAGGGTATTAAGGTGGATGGTGGGATGCTTAACCACTTGCGCTTCGCTGATGATGTCGTTGTCCTGGCCTCATCGTTGGAAGAACTTCAAACAATGCTCGAACAACTTCACCACACATCTGCGCAAGTAAGTTTAAAAATGAATTTGTCTAAAACTAAAACCCTAAATAAAAATGAAGAGCAAGTTAATGTTAATGGACAAAGGATTGAGAACGTTAAAGAGTATATATATCTAGGTCATGCCATAAAACACGGCAAGGAAAATCAAACAACCGAAATTTCTAGAAGGATCAAACTCGGATGGGCAGCTTTTGGTAAACTTAACTTTATATTCAAAAGCAAAATCCCAAATAGCCCAAAAAGAGACGTTTACAACAAATGCGTCTTGCCTGTCATGACCTATGGATGGGAGACTATGGCGATGACGGCACGAAGTGTGAACAGGTTGCGAGTGAGCCAATGAGCTATGGAAAGGGCCATGATGGGTATCAGTCTTCGCGACCACATTAGAAATGAAGACATTCGCCGACAGACGAGGATAACGGACATCGTAGAGAGGATAGCTAACTCTAAATGGTCTTGGGCAGGACACTTGGCTAGACAGTCCGAGGAAAGATGGGCAAAAAGACTTCTTTGCTGGAAGCCACGCCTAGCAAAACGCCCAGTCGGCCGACCTCCTAAAAGATGGACTGATAATATCCAAACCGTAGCCGGTAAGAACTGGATGAGGTGAGCACAGAATCGAAACGAGTGGAAGAAACTGAGAGAGGCCTACATTCTGCAGTGGATGAGTAATGGCTGAGAAGAGGTAGCACATGCAGCGGCCTGGCCGGTGCGACCTGGTCGTTAGTGTGTTCGAGCCCTAAAGGTTGAGTAGAGTATTTCGAGATTATTGAGAAAGTATTAATGGTTATTACAAAAGTTACCTAAATCTCGTAGATTTGATGTTACTTCGGTGTGCCATGTCGGTGGCCAGTTATTGGGTAAGATAACTTATTCTCGTTTTTCCACAATTTTTCTTATTCCTTCAATATTTTCATTTTATTTGGATATTCCTGGATTTGATCCACTGATTTTTATTAGTCTTCCATGCTTGCTGGATAAGAGGGTGTGAATGTGAATTACACTTTGGGCTAAGCTATCATAACCTAAAATCAATAAATATTCATTTAAATGCTGTCCACAGGGTTTTTTTTGGTAGTTTATTTTTAGTAACTCATTTCTGAATGTTTTACATTATTTTTAAGTTAAGAGTAACCTGATGAGGTTATGTAAAAAACTAGAAACTTGCACGTGATCACATGGTATCGAGAAATCCACCTTAGTTTTCAACTTTCAACAAGATTTGTGATCTTGCTTATACAACCGTTGTTCTTGGAGTTTACCCTGCTCAGCTCTGCACCTTTCAGTGCTTAGTTTCTGCTATTGGAAAATTTAGACAGGCTGGTATAATTTTATTTTGGAATATTATTGCACCTTAATTAGATGCTGTACACTATAAACGGCATAAATAGTAGAGTATCCCAAGCAGCATTTGGACGTCGGGACAACGTTGTGTCACGCGACCAAACGTCGGGGCGCAACGTCGACACAACCTCGTGCCAACCCTAGTCTGCACTAGTTTGGAGAATAACTTTTGGGTCGAAACGACGTTGGATACCTACGTTGGCTAGCAGCCTAATTAAGTACAAACTGCAAAGTTGTTTAAAATCCTAATTCACAGAAATACAAAACTATAATAATATGGCGTGTAAGTCGCGTTTTACCTTAAATTGGGATAATTATAGTAAAAATATTATTTTTATGATTTAGTTAGAGACATATGCCAGATGGCAGTAAAGGAAAACAAAACAAAAGTATTTAAGTGTGGAGGATGTTTGAAGATCATAATTATCGAAATACTTTAACCGAATCTGTAACTCGTTACTCAAGGCAAAAAAGTTAAACGCAAAAAAAATGTATTGTTTCTACTTTGAAAAATACTAATGGGCCTTAAAAAAGTTTTAAAAAATTTCTTGATTTTTTTTTTAGTAAAATGAGAATAATTTATTCGCAGTCGAAAAAATTGTTTCCGCGTGTTGTTTAGGGTCACATATTTCAAGTTAATGTATTCAAAAAGCAGGAATTGCTATTTTAGGAACGAAACATTTTCTTATTCAACAACATTGCGGCTTTCACTTTGTTGTTTTGGAGATTAAGATGGAGTAGTTCGAGTAGTCGCATACCTGGACTAATAAAGTCGCAGTTCAGCCTTAACAGGTAGTATACTAGTCGCAAGATTGCCTAATTTAGTCATCCTAGAGTCTAGCTTGTGCCGCCCTCTATATTCTAAATAAACGAGGGAGTGGATATCGGTAATATGTCGATGTATATTTAAATTTAGTTTTATATGTACCTTTCTTATGTCCCATTTTAATTAAGTTTTTGTTTTTATAAAAACAAAAACAGCACTGATCTGTCTGACTGAACAGAACAATGAAGTGAAAATTTAAGATTTAAGGTTATGATTCAATACAGTTGCAAAAAGGTAATGGCTCGACGTCCTACCAACTTAAGAATAAGGAAATCTAAACAACGCTGGAATTAGTAAATCAGACGACGTTTGCATAACGTTGGAATAGGTCCTGCAAGTGACGTCGGAAAACTCTTTATTGCCCAACATTGTAACTACGTTGTCCGAATCACCTAAATATCACTTAAGCAAAAAAGGTTACAAGACAACGTTTATTCGACGTCGCAGTTAAAGTTTAAATCTAACGTCATAGGGCGCGGCGGTGCAAAAATGAGACAGTAAAAATTTGAGGTAAAAATGAGACAGTGAGTTTTTTCTATTATTAAACATCTTTTTCTAAACTCTGATTAAGTAAAAAAGTTAAGTCTTCTTTTAAGTTGAGCATGCCTATATTAAATTTAAACAATTATGGCACAGAAAATATCAAACATGATGTATTTGAAGGAATCACAAAAAACACTCATAAAACTTTCAAATAAAAGGCGCTAACTTTTCCCGCCACGGCAGCCTAAATTGTCGGAGCGACTCGTTTAAAGTCGGAATATTGTTGTGTTTGTCTTGTGATGCGTTGGAACCATGTGCAACAGTCTTTCTTTGATACCTGACCCGAGCGCTCGTAAAATTATTCTGGGGTAAAATTGAGACTTGTGTGGGGGTAAATGTGAGACACCTGTTGGAGTAAAAATGAGACAGGTAAAATTTGCGTTTTCTACTAGTAACTTATTATTATTCTAGGATAACTGGAATTGTTTTCAAAATGCCTAGAACATACGTTCCTAAATTAAAAAAATATACAGCAAAAGACTTAGAAGAAGCCATAAATCTTGTTAAACAAGGGAAGCTTGGGGTAAGAGAGGCAGCACGACAATTTAGAATCGACAAGTCCAAGCTTAGTAGGTCGCTTAACAACAAAAATAAGTCGAAACAAGGTAGAAAGCAAGCCTTATCAGTGGATCAAGAAGCTGATCTAACCCAAAAGATCACCGTGATGGCTAAATGGGGATTTGCTGTATCCAAAGAAGAAATTAAACGTGTTGTTCAAACTTACGTCAATGAAAATAATTTAAAAACCGTTTTTAATAATGGAAAACCCGGAGATGACTGGTTTCGGACGTTCTGCAAAAGGAATGGACTAAGTCAAAAAAAGATGGAACAGTTGGAAAAGTGCCGAAGAACTGCAACCAGTGACCCCTTTATCATCTATTCCTTTTATGATAAACTTGGGGAAACAATTAAGAAACTGGGATTACAAGATAAACCCTCACATATATTTAATCTAGACGAAACTAGTTTTAATTTAGATCCCGGTAGAGTAAAGGGTGTCTCAGCGATAGGTAAGTTAGGATTGTAATACTTAAACTATTTTTTAATCTAATCCACTTGTTTTGGATAGGACAAAGGGTTCATCGGAGTATCGAAGGTTCCGGAAAAGAAAATGTTACAACAATGGCCTGCATTTCGGCAAACGGTGATCTCTTGCCGCCCTTAATAATATATCAAGGACAAAATTTATGGAGCACTTGGAAAGGAACGCAAGACATTGAAAATACATGCTATGCTGTATCCGACAAGGGATGGATGACAACAGCGGTTTTAATTCTTGGTTTCAAAAGTTCTGCAAGATGGTCCAGCAAAGACCCCTTCTTGTTATAATGGACGGGCATGTTTCTCACTTGGCTACAGGGACCTAGAGCTTGCCATCCAGAATAACATTACCTTATTTAAACTACCACCACATGCGACTGACCTTTTGCAACCATTAGACAAATGCTGTTTTGGACCTTTAAAATTAAAATGGAATCAAAAACTTATAGAGTGGCAAAGATTAAACCAAAGGAAGCTCACCAAATGTGAGTTTGCAAATATGATCTGTGAACTATGGAATGAGGGAATTTCACGAGATGTCATAAAACGATCGTTTGAAACTACTGGTCTGTATCCCTGTTCTAAGGAAAAATACCCAAAAGAAAGACTTAATGAAGTGAAGCTAAAAAGATATAACGAATGTGCACAACGAGATACTGTACTAAATAGTAGTATGTATAATTTAAATGCCGAAGAGGCTGAAATTGAAACAGTTGAAGAACCTAATAGAGAAGATAAACACAGAGAGGGAGAAGAAAAGATAACAGAACCCGAGGAAAACCAGATAATAAATGAAATTAATTTGGCATCCACATCAAATATTTCAATCGCGGGCACAGCTTCATCGTCCACCACGTTCGAAGAAATTTTGCTTGCCAAAATCAATAAAACAAATCCTGAGACTAAGACAAGACGTAAGATTAATTCAAACTCTGCGGTTCTTACGAGTGCTGAATATTTAGAAAGCATTAAACAAAAAGAAGTCATTCAAAAAGGTAGAGTTCAAACAAAAAAGGTACAAAAGAAAAATATTCAAAAAATAGATCGAGTTCCAAGTTCTTCCTCAGAAAGTGAAGCCGAAGGCATTATTCTTCAAGACGAAAGTGATGTGGATGATATGACGTTAGCTGATCTAGTTGAATCCAATTCAGATAACGAATTTGACACCTGCTCAAATGAGATACATTCCGGAGACTATGTTTTAATAAAGTTTGCTACAAAAAAGAAACTGGTACATTACGTTGCGTTAGTAGAAAATATCAAGGGAAGTGAGTACTGCGTATCGTATATGCGTCGACAAGTGAACAAATTTGTATTTCCCACCGTGCCTGAAAATTATAATGTGGACAAAGACGATATTGTAATGAAATTACCCTCCCCTAGTTGCCAAGGAGGAACCGCTAGAATGTCCCAAAAGCTTGCTTTTCCGATAGACTTTCAAAAGTTTTCTGTTAATTAGCTAAATGTTTTATTATACTTACCCTACGTTCTATTTTTTAAGTAGAATTTACTTATTAGTTTACTTTGACTTGTTTTGTTAAACAGTATTATGAGATTTTTCCCATTTTTTGAAATTAAAACAGTACAAATTAATAATTCACAAAATGTTGTGTGTCTTATTTTTATACTTACCTGTATCAGTCTTTCCCCAGATCGAATAATATGATGGAAACCTTCGTTTTACACCCTGTCTCATTTTTTCCCAAGCATGTCTTATTTTTGCCCCAACGACAGGAAAAAAATGAGACAGAGATTTATTTTTTTTTATTAAAGAAATACTTGTTTTTATGACATTTGGTGAATATAATGTAATTTCCCGTGAAATTTTACCCACTTTAGGAATTTTTTTATTTACTTTAAGGTTTTTTTAATGGGAAAAAAATAAAAAGATATGTAAAATGTCCCATTTTTACCCCACCGCGCCCTAAGTCATGAGTCTAAACATCAACGCATTTAAAAGCGATTTCTAATACAAACATTATCTTTTCCACAAAGAAGAAAACCTGTTGGCGTATTCGTAACATTGTACGTGCGTTAAAAAGCGTTTTTCCAGGCTTTCAGATCGATAGGTGTCGAGCGAGGACGGGCAGACTCTGGAGAATAGAGCATTTTCCGGAAACGGTGAAACCGCTACTAGGAAATTCATTAATATAGCTCCGCCATAGCTCTATCATTCGATACGATTGCGACCTTCTCTTGGGTTTTGGGGTGTAGAAGGATGATGTTGCTATTTCGATATTTCCTCAATGCTAGCGTAAAATATTAATTGAG